CCCCAGAGCCAGAGCCACACGTGGTGTCAGTCCTTTAATGCCCCACTCGCAGCCCCCTCCCCACAGCCCCCTTACATTCACAGCCGCTGCCACTCGCCGCACCCCCCGGGCAGCACAGCAGGTCCCATCCGGTGGGGGGAGCACCGGAAAAAAACGGGGAGCAACCTCCAGACTCCCCCAGCGGGCATCATCCCCCCTTGGCCCAAGCCACCAGACGCCAAGTGCTGGGTAGGGGTTACAGCCAAACAGACAGATAAGAAAATACTTCTGATATTTCTCAGAAACAGCTTCTAGAAACCAGTTTTTACAGCTCCCCATAGAAAAGATGGGTTTGGGCACAGCCACGGCCCGCGTCTTCGCTAATAGAAACGCTTGTTCCTCTCCTGGCGTTTCTGGAAGACCACAGCTCCCACCACGGCGCAGACGATGATGCCCAGCAGCGCGCAGAGCAGGAGCAGGAACACCTTCCAGCCCGTCAGAGGCCCGCTTCGGAAATTCCCCGTCGGGTCATCCACATTGTCTGCAAGGACAAGAACAGCTACAGAGACCGACCCAATCCTCAGCTCCTATGGGTCTCACAGGGACTCACAGCTCTGAACCCTTTCAACAGGCCTTTAAGAGTCCAGCCCCGACTTCCCAATCCTCCACAAAAGTTTCCAAAGCCCAGAGACTCACCTTTGGGTGATTTAAGGAGGCTGACGCTAGGCTCAATCTTGGTCCAGTCAACGGTCTCATCTTCTAGAGGGTGCTCCACCATGAGCTGAAATAGCTTCATCGAGATAATGTCGTGATTGTCTAGGAAACAACCATCAGCACCAAAGACTGTCAGAAGCTCTGACAGATGTCCACACGCTCACAGCATCCCTAGGACCATGCTGTGCCAGGTCCAGGTCTCCTTCCTTCTCAAGCCACCCTCACACCCCAGGTATCAAACTGCAATTTGAGATGTTCCTTAGCTCTTAGGTACGTTCTCAGGCCATGGGTCCCTGCCCAACAAGATTTTAACAATTCAGGGAAAAGACGACATCAAAGCTATCCAATGCATCCACAGCATTATATTCCAGGTTCCAAACAGCAGGTATTCCTGCAAGCAAAGCCCCCTCTCACCAGACAAATCTCCAGTGCCAGCAGAAGCACCAAAGAAGTAGCCAGTTGGCAGCTGCACCCCTGCAATGTCAATGCAGTTTTTCCATTCATTCTTGTCTTCCACATCGGTCATCACCTGTAAGACCAGGGGAGCGTCACACCAAGAACACACACTGCCATCCTGCCTGCCTGCAGCTCTTTTGGAGCCAGACATGCAGGAGAGGCAGGTGGTCAAGCCTGGAAACCATCTCCAGGTCACCTACTGACACAGCAACACCCGCCCCATCTAATGTGCAAGACACCCTGCAGAAGGTGTCTGCCACATCTCACCGTCAGGCGGCCTCGGGAGTACCGAATTGCCAGGAAAGTGTCATGGTTCTGGTTCCTAAGGTCAGCGGTGCACCCTGCCAGCTCCGTCCAGCGCCCGTCCTTACTGTGGTCATACGTCAGAGAGCCGTTGTTCACCATCGCAGAGATATAGGGGAACACACGCTGCAGGGAGGAAGGCGTTGCTGCTTTCAGCCTGCAGGAGCCTTCAAGCTGCAGACCAAGAGCCACCTTCCCCTGCCTGGTTAGAAACCTCAGCAAGAGCAGGATCTCAGCCAGGCACAGCAACAGAGCCACAGCTTTGCTGCAGTCAGCTCCAGAAAGCAGAACAAGGGCACCAAGACTCATTTTCTACGACAAAACTGTTTCTAAACTGAGTGAGAGCTTGCTCTGGCAAACCTCCCCCTGAGCCCCCATCATACCGCACAGCCAGGGCAACAAGACTGCTCCAGACTTGTGGAGTAAGCACCAGAGTGGGTAAGAAGTGTAAGAACAAAGCACAGGACCCAGAGTGGGCAGAAATCTCTCATGAGCAGCATAACCACACTCAGGGCTTTGCAGTCAGCAGATTACGTACACTGGAAGAGGCCAACTAGAGGGAAGAATTCAGCTCTCAGTGAGCACCAAGACAAGAGGGGGATGGAGTAATTTCCAGGTGCTTTAGGACTTAAGTGACACATTTTTGGTGCAATAGATGTCACTAGCACAGTTAAATTTTCTGACCGTGCTGTAACGAGATCCACAAACATGGAGCAGGAGAGAAGAACCATAAGCCCCCAGAGGGCTGATGCGTATTTCCCCTACAGGGAATTCTGGAGCAAAAAGCCAGCCCAGGAGTTCCTCTTTCAGAGACACGCATGTTGGAAACAGAGAATAAGGCCAGAAATAACATGGAATGACCAACCAAAGCACAGAGAAGTTCACAAAATGACGCTCTACTTAATAGGTTGTACAGTTTACACCAGCCCTGTGCCACCCTATCATGCAGAGGTTGAAAGGCCTCGGAAACATCTGTGTGGTCAACAACAGAAGATGGAGCAAGGACCTTCTTATCTCCATGAATGCACGTACAAACTCTTCCCTTGACTAGCTCCCGTGACAGGAAGAGCAACCCACCCTCATGTGACATTTTTCCTTGGTCCGGGCATGGAGCACTTGGAGCATGAAGCTGTGAGAAAACAGCCTCCTTGGCACTGAACGAGCACCCTGAACTACTCACCTCTGTTGCTTCATCGTTGGGATATGTATCAAGGAAGATAGCAAGTCCATGAAAGTTGTCCTTGCTGCCAAAGACAGGACCTGAACAGGGCAGAACACAGGGAACAGAAGGCTCTCAGGAGTTTGTGCTCAGACATTTCTACTGAGAAGAGCTGTAAGAGTTGTTTATTGCCAGACAGATGACTTAGGGCACCTGTTCCCTGGGCAGAACGTGCTGGACACGCCATCCCAATCTGGTGAAACCAGACAGAGAGAAGTTCAAACGCCCTCACTAGTGAGAAACCTGATGGGTCCAAGGGCAGCGCCCTGGTCTGCCCTGGGGCACATGTGAGAGCTGAGGAGGACGCAGCGTGGCCAGGCAACCCCTGGCTGTGCACTGTACCTGGCACCAGGCGCTCCTGCGTGTACCACAGCGCCAGGCCATCCCCGTGCAGGTTCTTCTTGCCGGCTCCGTGGATCTTGAAGTGGACATGGAGCTCCCAGTCCTTGAGGAAGCAGGGCTGTGGGGACAGACCACCCAACGACATCAAGCAAGAGCCGGGAGAGGCGCCAGGGCACCCACCGGCCTCTCCACACCGGTCTCCCCCCGGGCTCTCACCACGCGGTTCCAGATGGAGCCCTCCCGGCTGCGCTCGTCAGGCGTCAGGCGGACGTATTGGCTGGTGACCATAGTGCTGCCCTGGAAGTCCCACAGCGGCATCGCGGCGGAGCCCGCGCCTGCAACAGGCAGAGAGAATGCGGCTCAGCCCGGGCCACTACGGGGCGTCCGGCCCGGCCCGGCCCGGCCCCGCGCTCACCCTGATACGGCTTCATCAGCGAGTGCTCCCGCTTCAGG